AGGAATATCTACTATTTATTACATGCACAGCATCCAGCCTAGCGAAGCCCTGCCTGTCTACCTGCTGATATAATGCATGCTGCTAATGGGACATTTATGTTAAATCTGTGAGTAGCAATCCTATATACACAACTCTAGGTCTGATTTGCAGAGCAGTTTTTATTTTCTCTTACCTAACTTAATATTCTGCAGCTCTACAAAACCTTGCCATTTATAACTGTGAGACAAAGAGAATACATTTAAATCTGATTTGTCCGTATTTAAAAAAAAAAATATATTAAATATAAGGAAAGAGCCACAGATACTTTCCTGTATGATCTGGGGAACCTAACTCATTCAAGCTTTGCTTCTGTGGGATTTTTAATTTGCCACCAGAAACCTCAGAGTAGCTGTAATTTCAGTCTGGGAATTCACAATTATTGAGTGTGTGAATGTGCGTGTGTGAGCAGTGAGGAGATCCTCGCCAGCTGAAACATGTACGCTTCTGCAACAGTTTCATTTAAAAGTAATCATTTCATTATCCAATTTGTTCTGAGCGTCATGCATTAAAACACTACACCTTCAAGCAGACTGACAATATATATATTTAACTTTCATTAAAAATTAAAGAATTTTCAGACCGTCTTTGCAATATTTAATTACAGTTTGATGATTTGAAAGTTACTTGAGAATCTTCTATATAATTCACTGTCGTAAAATATAAATGATATATTCAACATTTGGGTGAGCTTCTGTCATGTGTTGTACTTCGCTTCCTAATAAGCATTCAGTAACCGAAGCGCTCGCAACTCTGAACTGATTTCACTCGAAAAAAGAAAGAATTAAAAAAGAAGAAGAGGGAGAATTCGGCCCCCAGCCCCCGAAAAAATTCAGAGCAGCCCATGCCACAGTTTTGACATGACAATGCCCTGTTTTTCATAAGCAATTACAGTCATGCCTAAAGAAATTATATTCATGAAATTAATACGTAAGCAAACATGTTTGCGTCTAAAATAGCCTTTCACTCCCTGTTTGCTAATCTAAGTTCAGAGCGCTTTTGTTCTAAACCCTCGCTTCTCGACTCCATTGCACTTTCCCCAAAAATCTGTAATCTGCACTAACTTTGTTTTTGTAAGACTTCCTGAAATCGGACAGATTTCTTTTTTTTCTGTTGTTTTTCTTCATTGTGAATGTGCTTTAAAGCTACATGGCAGGTTTTACAAATAAACTGTATCTCGGGGTTTTTTTTTCCCCTTTCTCTCCAAAGCCCCTCTGATGAGTTGATAATAATGAGAGACCAAGAGGTCAAACAGTGCCTTAGGATGAACTCTTCATATGCAAGATGCCTTTGTTAAGAAAATTATTTTGAATCCGCTGCTCTACATGAGCTCTGTTTTCACCAGGATTATGAACAGAGGCTTTTGCATTTCCGTAATGATAGGAAAGCTATTTAAAGATAATATTTATTGATAGTCTCTCTCATTCGGTCTACAGTGAAATACATCCGCTCCAGAAGCACTAAAAAGAGTTCCTATATCAGGAAGATTTTGTTACTTTTCACACGAACCAACCAATTTGTCCCTGAAAAACAAGGAATGACAGCAAATGCTTTCCAAGATGTGTTATGAAGAAGGGTATGGCGCTGCTGTTTTAATTCCTACAGGGAATGGGCTCTGTTTGGAAGTGTGCAGTCTAACAGAGCTCAGATGCATAGTGGATTCTCTAGTAAAATTCATCCAAGTTCCCTTTTTTCTTTTTTTTTTTCCTTTTTTTTTCTTTTTTTTCTGTTGAAAGACAGTCTTCAATAGCAGGAAAAGATGTTTGGGGACCATCAAAGAGAGTTTTCTAAAACAAACTCAGCCCTTAGAGCTTTATGTTGTAGTATAGAAAAGAAGCCCAAATACAAGCCAAGAGTTTTTTTTTCCCTACGGACAACATACAGGGACTGACTTTTCCTATCGGTACAAAAAAAAAAAAACTTAATGTTTTTCCTAAATAAAATTTAAGAATTTTTTTTAACAAGTAAAACAGATTAGGAGGGAAAAAACATATCTTAAGGATAAAAAGGCTTAAAAGCCGTCCTAACTATTTAAAGGAAACGTATTATAAGAGAAAAACGTCCTGACAGAAGCAGAAGAAAAAGCTAGAGTCGTGATTTTTTTTAAAAAAGAGAGAATCGATTTGTTCAGATGGTAAAAATGCCCGTTTCAGACAGAAAAGTATTTTTTCCAGGTAGGCACGATCGTTCTTACTCTGTGTGGGAAGCTAAGGGCAAGCTTCAGCTGCGGGCTAATCCGCTGCCAGCTCTGCTGCCCTGCAGCCCGACACCGAGCCCGCCGCTCCCGCGCCGCGTGTCGGGGGCTATTGCGACATGCAAACGTGCCACGATTTGCTCGCTCCTCCTTTAACCCAAGGACCCGGCGGCGGCGCGAATAAAGGACGGAGAAACCCAGGCACCGCGGCTGAGCCGCGGCTTGAGCCGGGCTGGGGGAGGCCGGAGGTTAATTCTTATTAATTAAGCGGCAAACCCAGCCCCAGCCCGGACCGGAGGGG